CAAATCTCAATAAAATCTGAATGTCTAGAAATCTGCTGATCATATACAAAGAAATTATGCCTTCAAAGATCCTTGCATCATTTGATAATAGATTTCATTTATTATGCATTATTTGCTTCATTAACCCATTCTCTTTTTATAATAAAAATACAGAAAGCACACAGATCCATGCATGTATCACCAATAATGAACAAATATTTACATCACACATCCAATGGAAAAGTCTTCTTTATTCACAAATACACCATTATTATTTACTAGGTAGGCAGACCAAGATTTTAAACAGTACTGTTGTATATGACATTAAAATAGAGGCAGAAAGAAATTGTACTTGTAATCAATATTTGCTCACATGTTTTACAAACTGAAGGTATTTGTTCTTGACATTTGTCAAGTCTTGTGTCCTCCCACTTTGACTCAAGAGTTTCACCATTCAGACCCATTTTCTCATATTAATTTCTTTGTTTGGGAGGAAGATTCTAACCCCAAATGGTGTGAGGGCAACTCTCAAAGGCAACTTTGAAAAATCAATATCAAGTACAAATATCAACATCAAGTATCAACATCAGGTACAAATATATCAGTATGTTTTTCTAACCCATAAGGACCATAATGAATATAACTGGAACAGCATGAAGGAAAATAAACAACAAAAATTAACAGCCTATAATCCTAGTGTTCAACTTTCAATGATCAGTTTTCAGTGAACAGTTCTCTTGAGGAAAAAAAAGCTAAAGGAAAGGACTTTTCTTTGAATGTTTTCACCACAATAAAATGACAAACATTTGAAGACATAGACACACTCACCCTGAGATCAATATTAAACAATATATGCATGTATCTACACATGATATGGCACACCACTAATATGTATAATTTTTAAAAGTCAAAGTTTTCAAAATAACAGAATCCTTCAATGTGAATTACATTGATGGTTCTTACATAAAAGCAAAATGGCATGCAGAAAGGCCAAGTAATCAAAACAGGATCAATAGCCAGTATATGTTAGACACATGGATGAGTTAATAACCATTTTCCCCCTTTTAGATAATGCCATGTTTCACTCTCTTTCATTGACTAGCTTCTTGGCTTAATGGCACTGGCTCCATCTTTCATTTATTGCACACAATTGTCTTTTTAATCCTGTGAAATTGGACTTTAGGCATTTGTTCTTTTGAAAATAACTTTCAGGGGTGACCAATTGCACCCCAACCCAGCGGTTTCTTAGGGTGTTTTCTAATGAGTATTCTCTTAGCATTCAATAGCAACTTCTTTCTCCACAAACTCCCAGGAATTACAGGAAAAAGTAAGCATTTTTTTAATCAGGATAGTGAATATGATGCTACATTTAAAAAAACAGCACATTGATGCAGAAAGAACATTTGCATTTCCTCTTCTGTGAACATCTGTTCATACCCTTTGCCCATATTTTATTATTGAGGTGTGGTAGCTCTTATCAGTTTCTTTGAACTCTTTTCATCAAGACATTAGTAAAAATACGAATTCTCTTTACTCCCTGGGATAATTCTTCACAGCTTATTATTTATCCCATGAATTTTACTTTATATCTTTGGGTAATTTTTTGATTATATGCCTTTTATAAGTATTGCTTGGAATAAACTCAAATCATAGAGACATTTATAAATTGTAGTACAAATGGGAGGCTAACCTGGTACTGAAAAAAACCATTCTGACAAGAACCTCATTTCAGTCATGCAAAATGGAAAAAGTTGATCTCATAGAAATGGAGAGTAGAATAGTGACTTCCAGAGACTGAGGAGGGAACAGGAGGGAAAAGGAGAGAAAGGCTGGTCAATGAATGCTAAGTTACAGTTGGATATGAGTGATATGAGAAAAAAGTCCTGGTGTCTATTATACAGGAGGGTAGTGTCAGATCATAATAATGTAGTATATTACTTACCCAGCTAGAAGGAAGGATTTCATGGCTCTTCTTTCAACTGTAAAGAGACGCCGAAAGAGATTGAAATGTTTAACTTGGATTGAACATTAAACAATATACACATGCATTAAAACATCCTATTGTCTCTATTACTTTGAATTATTTTTATTGTCCTCTATTAACCAAAAATAAATGTAACATAAATTTTGGAAATCATGCAGCATTTAAACCACCCTCCTTTGTCACCCATTCTCGATTTATTTATGGCATATTAAGGTTGTGTCTGTGTTCTCAATAGAGATTTTCACCTCTCCAGGATGGGATAGTGTAAGATTATTTCAAAGAGAAGAGAAAGTACTAATATACTCTCTGTGCAATATTCTGAAAGGAAATGTTACTAACTATAAGTCATATTTTTCTAGAGTTTTCATCACAAGTGAAATATTTCAGTGATAGAAGAAACAATATAAATTTGACTCTAGTTCAGACATGGTAAGTTAGGTCATCTACAAAACACGAACAGAATAAAGATATCTTAGAGAAGCCAGATTAACAAGTTTTAGTAATTCATTTCCTTTATTACCACAAGCCCACTAAACATCTGCTTCCACAAGAAAGCATGAATGGGCCATGTAATGCGAGTATTTACAATACCATATAAAGTGTTTTCTCTACAATCAGGAGGAACACACTGCAGCGTGGCAGGAACATAGAGCCACACGGAGATAGGGTAGATTAAGAGTGCTAGCATTTACTGGTCTTTGTTCCCTTTGTGAAAGGCACAATGGCTAATCCAAATTTCTTCAAAGGACCAAGACAAGTATCTTGCTACCTATGTTTAAAACCTTCCATATATTTGCTAGGATGATGAATTGTGCTGCTGTTGCTGACATCTGCATTGTGTCTGTAAAGTTTCTCTCTCAGCCAGGTGCTGGTAGCCATTCTTGCTTGCTACTTAGAAGGCTGAGATCTGAGGATCTCAGGATCAAGGCCAGGAAAGTCCATGAGACTTGTATCTCCAATTAAAAAGCCAGAAGTGGGGCTATGGCACAAGTGCAGAGTGCTAGCCTTGAGCAAAAAGGGGTTCAGGGACAGCGCCCAGATCCAGAGTTCAAGCCCCAGGATGGGATTACAGGTATGTGCCACTAAGTCTGGTCTTAAAATATAACTAAAAAAAATAATTCATCTAAAGTTAGTAAGCTTTTCCTAATAGGTATCTCTACTTCTAAATAACTAGAAACTAATCTAGTTTATAATGAAAACAAGTCTACGTTTTTAACAGTTTATAGAAAGCAGGCAGAAAAAAAAGATTCTCTTTCTCCTCTTCTCTCTCTCTCTCCCTCCTCTTCTGTCTCTTCTCTTCTGTCCCCTCAGATAGTTATTGAAGTAAATTTACCCAAGTCAATCCTTAATATATCCTTAATAATGAAGCACTAAAATTCCAAACAAAGATGGGTTTTAGTACAAATAATATTACAATTACAACATATTCTTCAAGTTACATACAGAAAACATTACAGGGAGAAAGGCAATTTAAGGAAACCTCAGACTTGTTATGGAGATAGGCTAGAGGTGCTAGAAAAGAGAAAAGTTAGCAGGAGTAGTTAAGTCACTTTGAACTATACCTGCATAAGTCTTGGGAATGCTTGAATAATATGAAGGAGATTACCTTTCCCTTCTTTATTAGCACTGAGTTACATTTTTATGTGAATTGATGCTTATCAGCGGAGGAAACACTGAATCAATCTACTTCAAAGAGACTGGTTGTCTTGCTTTCTGATGCATGAAGGACAGTAGGGAGCGATGAGGTAAGAGGCTGGATTAGGTATAATTTGAGTAAAGTGCATGCTTCCAATGCATACATCCCAGCCCAGTGTGACGTTTGCAAACATTGTTAGAGGCTTAATTTATGAAAAATGATGAAAAGCCAAAACTTTGTATGATCTGGATCCAATTTGCTTTGGACAGAATCTGTCACAACACTGAGCAAATGTCACCAAGGTCAGCATCAACACAGGTTATTCTGTGTGTCCTCACTAGCTGAAGTCATTTTGGCAATCACCAGTGAGGTCAGAATTCTGAGAAGCGATTGTCTATTCTTGTCAGGAGCAAATACTCTTGTATATGGAAAACAGGCACTGGACAAATATTTTAACTGACTTGGGTATCTTCTTGTTTTGCTTTGTTTTCCTTCAGAATGAATGACTTAAAGACATAATGACAGATTAAAACTAAAATCAAAATGCATCTGTAGAAGTGATAATCAGATGCATAGATACATGTTGGACAATTCACCTTGTCACAGGCTATCATTACATATGGCTTTTTGTGACACTTTTTAAATTGTGATCCTCATTTGCACACGCACACCATTCATTCTGTCTACTCCTGAGCACTCTACCTCTCTTCTGTTCCCAGAGACACATTGATAGATCTCATAATAATTGTATACTAAGCTGGATGCTGGTGGCTCAAACCTGTGAGATCTGAGGATTTTGGTTCAAAGCCAGGCTGGGCATGAAAGTCCGTGAGAATGTTATCTCCAATAAACCACTAGAAAACTGGAAGTGGTGCTGTGGCTCAGTGGTAGAGTACTAACTTTGAGCTGAAGAGCGCAGGGACAGCGCCCAAGAACAGAGTTCAAGCCCCACAACTGACAAAAAAATAATAATATGCTAAATGTTTCTCTCATAAAGTTAGCTACTGAAGGATCAAGATTCTTTAGATTTAAACCCAGCTTTTCTCCTTGGCAACAGATTAAGCTACTATCCCATCTTCTGCTTGAGATTTGATCAAACAGCATCCTGTTAGCTGTTTGCTAATGGAGTTTCTTTGCATACTCTTTTATTTTGAGGTGTATCTGGTCTCATTTCAGAGCATCTCAGGTGTGATCTCTTCTCTTGCTTTTGATGGTTTCACAAAACCTCCTTTTATTATTTCCTGTTTCAAAATCTTTCTGTTTTATCTGCCTAATCTTCTGCAAAACAAACTTTTACAAATCTCAATTCTGAGAGTCTCATACAATTACTCCAAACATTGTGCACATCTTGTTTATAACAAAGTGATAGTCAAATAAAATCAAATAAAACCAGATGCAGAACGTCGTCTAGCTGAGGTCAGCTCAGCCGCCATGGCGAAAGGCAAAGCCGCCGAACGGTCGCCAACGGGGGCACTCCACAAGACCCCAGTAGAGGACCAGGCTGCGCGGACGCGGGATTCCGCGGAGCCGGGCAGCGGAGGCAGTCTGAAGGAAAAAGCCTGTGTGGAAGCGGGGTCAGCAAGAATGTCACTTCTTATATTGGTGTCCATTTTCTTGTCTGCAGCCTTTGTTATGTTTTTGGTATATAAAAATTTTCCTCAGCTTAGTGAAGAAGAAAGAGTGAATATGAAGGTCCCCAGGAATATGGATGATGCCAAGGCTCTAGGAAAAGTTTTATCCAAATATAAGGACACCTTTTATGTACAAGTACTTGTAGCTTACTTTGCTACGTATATTTTCTTGCAAACATTTGCTATTCCTGGCTCTATTTTTCTCAGCATACTCTCAGGGTTTCTTTATCCCTTTCCACTAGCCTTATTTCTTGTTTGTTTGTGTTCTGGACTTGGTGCCTCATTCTGCTATATGCTCTCCTATTTAGTTGGAAGACCAGTTGTATATAAATACTTAACAGAGAAAGCAGTAAAGTGGTCACAACAGGTTGAACGTCACAGAGAACATCTCATAAACTACATAATATTTTTGAGAATAACACCATTTCTGCCTAATTGGTTTATCAATATTACATCTCCTGTGATAAACGTGCCACTGAAAGTTTTTTTTATTGGCACTTTTCTAGGCGTTGCACCTCCCTCTTTTGTAGCAATCAAGGCAGGAACAACACTGTACCAGCTTACAACAGCCGGGGAAGCTGTTTCCTGGAACTCAGTATTTATTCTGATGATTTTGGCCATTCTTTCTATTCTGCCAGCTATCTTCCAGAAGAAACTAAAGCAGAAATTTGAGTAAAAAATTAAAACTAGGTTTTTCTGTCATCTTCATTTTCATCATCTCAGGATTAGCAGGTGCATCCATTTGTTTTTAAATAATCAGTACTCGAAAGAAGTATTGTTTTATGGGATATTTGTAAAATATGTAATGATACATTTTAAATAATGCATTTAAATGACAAGAGCGCACAGAATTTAAAAGGAGAAATTGGCATACTAAGAAAAGTGCTGTCATCTATAGTTATGATAGACATCTTACAAACTACTAACAATGGCTATAGACAGATAATAGAGGCATGGTAGAAACTTCTTGGTCTGAATACATCCAATATTTATTTTTATGTCTAACAAGTAAAATAGATAGTGAAGTCAAGTGCAGTGTTGTGCACCTATCATCCTAAGCCACTCAAGAGACTAAAGATTGTGAATTTGAGGCAGCCCAGGCAAGTTAGCAAGATTCTGTCATAAAATAAGAGGTATAGTTTTTGCTAAAGTTTAGCCTAATGTCAGAGGATAAACTGGATAAATAAAATTTAAAAAAGGTTTACATTTTCTTTTTCTGTTACCCTTTGAGGTAATGAATTTCATTAGGAACTGTATCTTCAGCCACCAATGAAAATAGGATATCAAGTTATTTGTCTTACAGATTTATCATTTTCTGTTTTAGATTTGTATTATGGAATAGTCTGATAATGTAAATTCTGGCCAGTCTGTTTTCATTCATGTTTTTTTCTAGGTTTTGCAGTATTTCCACACTATATATGCAAAATGAAGATGCATACCTATATAATATTGGTGTTGATAATGTATACTTAGATATTTTGTTATAACATCTCTAATATCTCAGTAGAGGATCTGAAAATACCAATTCCAGACATTAGATGGTTATTTTATTTTGAAACAAACAGTAGCAGCACAACACTAATGGCTAATTACAGTTTATGGTTCTAATGACTGTAAATTTTACCTCATTTGATAATTAAGCAACGTATTATGTAATTATTCTTTTTAATGCATGATACACTTGTAAGACTATCTTGTTTATATGATGGCTTTTTGTTTGGGACTGCTTTAAACTCAAGCCATTTCACAATTTAGTTTTTACTCTTCTGTTTCAAAAAGTAAACTACCTGCTCACATAGTAACTATTAAGTTTGAATAGTTCTGGAAAACTGAAAAGCTTTTTGCTGCTTGGTATGCCCTTGTGCCCTTGATTCTGGGACACAGCCAATCTAAAGTACTTCCTCAGTTTTACTTTCACCCTAAGAATATTAATGTTGAAAAAGTGCTTTAGCTCTGTAAGAAATCTTGTATGTTTTCATTCATTATCAGAGGTGTGGTTGTCCTCAAAGCCTGTCTTACTGCATAATATGGACTGATTAATTTTTTTCTATCACAGTATTAACAAATGGATATGTTGTACATACAAAAATAATAGATTAATATAGTGGTCTTAATGTCACCTGGTCTTTTGTGCAAAATTATTTATTGTTATTTCTAGCAAGGTTTTCTTTCCTATTGACCAGAGTAGCAAGGTTTTCTTTCTTATTGACCAGAGACTGACTGGTAAAGCTTTTGTTATTTTTACAAATGAATTTAAAACATAGCCTTTTGAGACAAAGTTCACTAAATATTAATGTACAAAATGTAACTGAGTAAATTTTTATCAGACTTTTAAAAATAAAAATAAGAGCTTTGACTCAAGAAACCTCAAAAAAAAAAAAAACAAACCAGATGCATACTTGCTTTTGTTTATCTCTGCTCCAGATTATTTTTAATCCACCTATGTTTTTTTCCACAGGAGAAAAGAAAGTAGCCATGCAAAGATTACACTCCAAGTAAGCCCTTTGTCTCCAGGAGTCTAGCCAAGTTATACCATTGCTTATGAGCATCAATGAAATATTTCTCTCTAGATTATCAATGTGCAAGGAGAAATAATATTTTATATATCAAGAGTCTACTTTTACAGTTCTAGGCTGGCAACCAACCTGCTGGATGATGTTTTGCAACCACTTAGACTTTTTAAAGATATTTATACTTCAAAATAAACTTGGCACTTACCTAAATGCCAAGCATATAGGTTAAAGCTGAAAACCTAGCTCAACAAGTCAGTTGCTCTTGTAATCAGGCATTATTTTGTTTTTGAATCTACCACACAAAGATAATAGAAAGATAAGTTGAAATACTTTTTATGAAGAAAAGGGCATTGAGTTTTAGGCTGGACCTACTTGAGCTGGTTCCTCATTTCTATTATCTACCAGGTAATCGACAGTGAAGCTATTATTTCAGTTTCAGTCTTGTTAAACTATAATAATAAAAATATAGGCCTCAGGCTTGTTCATAGAACCTGAAGAATAATTAAGTGGCACGACACAAGCTAGATGCTCAATAAATGGAGCCCTTCATGTAATGTTATAATGATTACTCTAGAACTTAGTAACTGCTAAGTTCCACTGTGCAGTATTGTCTTTGCCCAATTTTGTGCACATGTGAAACTACAGGTGCACATATAATTGATTTTTATAAAAAGATCGTGTAACAGACTGTAAGATAAAGATATTGGAGTGGTGAGTGGAAGGGAACTATGAGTATTTATTGATTCAGAAAACAGTATCTGGAGGTAGGATTGACTATAACCAACAGATGTCTTCAAGCTACCCCAGTTCCTTTTATAGAATTCTTTGGTTGTTGCTGGAAGCCAGTAGCTCATGCTACAGCACTAGCTACTCAACATACTGAGATCTGAGGGCAGAAGTTCAAAGCCAGCCAGGGAAGGGAAGCCTGATGAGACTCTTATCTCCAATTAACAACCAAATAGCCAGAAATGGAGCTGTGGATCAAGTAGTAGAGCACTAGCTTAGAATAACAAAGCTCAGGGACAGCGCCTAGGCCCTGGGTTTAAGCCCTGGGACTGGCGAAAATCCACACCATGCATTATACAACTTGCACAAAGTTTTTATGAGTGTGCAGATTACAAATAAATCATAAATCTCTCCTACAGGGTACTCGGCCCTTTTCTTGAAAAGCTGTGTTCAATGGACATTGCAGGCACAGAGGATGGTTGGGAACGGATAGAGATTCTCTAAGTTCAGACTGTTCCTCTAAGTGCAGTCTGACCTAGTTATAGTTACCATGGATACCATAATTTTGAATTTAATAGTATTCCCTAGAGGAACAGCAGTATATATCTATGAAATGTTAAGATCAATCTGAAGCTGAGCCTTGAAAGGTGAAGAAACTGAGTCAGGAACGGCTAAGTAGTTAATTTGACATCAATAGGGAATTCTCAGAATTAGTGAAGTTAAAGTCTATAATTAGTTCAGAAGACAGTACATTTTTCAAACTCAGTCAAACCAGAAGAACTGCTTCTCACTACAAGTGATTTACATGAGTTCTTACTGCACTTATTCAAAGAATGCTTTTTCTCCCAGTCATTTGTAGCTTCAGTTGCTGACCTATAAGCTCAAAAAGCACAAACAGCTACTTGATCTCAATGCATTGAGCTCCACCAAAAAAACAGGTTTTCTTCACAAAATAAAACCAAGTGAAACGACAAAATGTCTAGGGAATGAAGCAATACAGGATCATTTATTTTAATTTGAGTTTCCAGGATGATTTGATGACTATCTTTTAGAAACCCGTAATATATAATCATGCATATAAAAGATGGCATTATAACAGACACATTTAAGTCTTCAACCATAATAATTTTTCTTCTTTAATAAATGTTAATTATTAATACTTATAATGAACTTAACAGTTTCTCAGTACCAAATTAAGACCAAATTAGTCCCATCTAATATTTAGAAGCTAAATATCAGGTTAGTACTCATTTGAAGACATAAAGCTAGGAGAAATTAGCGAGAAGGCAAAAACAGAAATCATCTAAATTCTCCCTTGAAAATGAGCATAGTTCATTTCATCTTCCAGCTGTTTTGGCCCAAGTTGCTGTTCTGCTGAGTAATTGTTAAATGAATTCTGAAAGATCATATACAATTGGAAATTGAACCCAATGATCCAATATAGACCCTGGCGTTATTAAATAGTTTTCAGAGATTCCAATGGCACTTTTTCTTGCTTATGTGGCTGGTTTTGCTCATAGCCAGGCCATCTCATGCACTAGCAAAAATGTTCCCCCTTCCTAAGATCAATTTCCTCCCGACAACCTTGAAAATCTCGTAATGGATGATTCATTATTGCTGAGACAAAGGCCCAAGTCTGATCATATGTCATTGCTAACATTACTTCAGTCAAGAGGATAAAAACATTAGGAGGTTTACCTCCTCCCAGGCCTGAGCTCCCATCCATTGTTTGCTGACAGGGTTATTATGCTGTTGCTTGGTCCAGTGCATTAACAGAAATGGTTGCTTTCAGGAAGCACATCAGTGGATATAAAAATACAGCTACAAGATAGCAGGGCCACGGTGAGCAATTTATAGTTGAATAGGGAGCACTCAAAGCTGGCTTTATGGCCATCTTACAGATGCATTAATGACCTCATCTTTGAGGAAATAATATCCTCTGATTCTTCCTTTTGTTTCCATTTCTATACTCTCTTTTTGCAAGAAAGTACTAATAATAAGAAAAAATTCTTCTGTTCTTACCCACATCTTTCTCCATAATTGGGTAAGCTGATTACATAATCTTATACTGATACCTGATTCTCTTAACGACAAACATCCTGCTAGTCATGAGAGCTTCAGCAGCAAATAGCTTTAGGAGCTCATCATCCGAGGTCACAGAATATAAGGAGCTTCCTTCATATGGAAGAAGTATGTTGAGAGGTGATTTCAGAGGCAGGAGGAAGTGGCTGTTCCCAGGAGACAGGAGAGAAATGTCATAGAAGAAGTGACATTTAAAGTAGGGCTGGAAGGATGTATAGGATTGCACTGGGATGGGGAAGGCAATTTCATTTATAAGAAGCTGCTTGAACAAAATCCATCCTAAAAATAGAATGTAGAGTGTATAATGGGATTGGGAATCAGATTACATTTGTCAATGGTAGCCATGGCAATTCCTTCCTTTTTGTAAGAACTTCTTTAGAAAGATTTGGGTATTCTTCCTATCGAGGAAGGAGAATCTATATAGCCTCCTTTGGATTCTGAGTATGTGTTCTGCTCTTCCTGGAAGTGACACTTGCCACAGAGGCCGTGGTCAAACATGGTCCAGTTTCTGCCTGGTTCTCATGAGACACTCCCACTTTTGGAGACACACAAAACA